GTTCCTACTATTTTATTGTAGTTGATGCCTATTTAATCCAATTCCTCAATTTGTTGCTAAAATTAACAGATGCACACAAGGAAGGTATTAGGAAAAAACTGAGGGAGGGTGATTTTGTGCATGGATTATGCACATTAATACACATGGATTATGCACATTAATACACAGTATGATAGAGTTCAGAAAATTTGTAAGAATGATTTTTGTGAATCTCAATAGCTTTAATTTCAAATCATAAAGAGAATGTATCAGTCTTACTCAACATGACTTCCACAATGTTTTTAATGTATGTGCTTTGCAGTTTCCCTTCTGGGATGACACCTAGATCTGGCTCCCTTAATAGACCAAGTGTATTTACCTGCCAGTGTATATACATTTATTACATTTTTTTTGCATGTTTTTTTTTTTCTCGGCAGTAGCCCATCCAGCAAGTCAGATGAAGAGAAAGAGAACAAATCAAAGGAAACCCCAAAGAAAACCAGTGAAAATTGTGATGAAGATGATAGTGACGAGAAAGCTGAGAAAGACTCCTCTTCAAAAGCCAAGAAGACGCCAAAGGAGAAGAAGGACAACAGAAAGGCCAAGGGAAAGAAAAGCACCCCTGCCAAAGAGAACAAGACCCCAGTGAAAGAGGAGAAAGAAGACGCAGAGAAAATGGAGGTAGAAAATGACGAAAAGGAGACGTCTGAAGCATCCAGCTTCAAAACCCCAAAGAAATCAGACAAACCAAAAACAAGAGCCTCGCCTGGATTTACTCCTGATACAGTTCCCCTCTTCGTAAAACTGGTATGGTGTTTTCATGTGATTGTACCATTTTAACTTGGTTTTATATTTTTCATGTAACTATATTTTGATATATGTAATGTAAAACTTTTTTTTTATTGATTTTAGAAGAGATTGATTTATGATTATGTTAAATTGATAGTATTTTTTATATCATTGTTATATATAGATCATTTATTTAATTATATATGTAAGCCTGAAGATACAAATTTAATGTAACATTTTTCAGCAAGGAAACAGATGAAGCGAAAAAGTGATAGTATGGAAGAAAAGCAGAAAGAGATAGTCAAGAAAATCAAGGTAGAAGAAAAAGAAAAGGAAGAGGCAGAGGCTATGCAGGAGGAAGAGGAAGATGAGGAGTCTGAGAAGGACAAAAAAGCTGATGTTGGAAAGGCCAACATAAAGGAAGAAGGGAAAAAGCAAAAGGAGGAGGAAGATGAGGAAGAAGAGATGGATGTGGATGATTCAAAGGAGAAAGAGACAGCTGAGAAAAAGAAACCAACTTCAATCCATAGCTTCTTTTGTAAGTATTTTTTACCATTGTTAGAAACAAAGGATGTTTGGTTTTTGCATTACAGCACCAAATTAAAATAATTCCAGAAACCTGTAGGTGATTTTCTAGCATTTAAAAAATAAAACATCTACCTAGATGTACATAAACATGCATGGATGAGGAGAGAATTTTTCAATAGGATATTTTGTTTTCTGTGAGCATGATATCAGTAAATTCTTTTTCAAAGATTAGTATTTTCCTTTTTCTATAACAGCACCAAGATCCTCCAAGTCTACCCCAGCAAGTACAAGTGTTAAGAAAGAAAAAGAGATAAAGAAAGAGAAGAAAAGCCCAGGCAGTCCAAAAGCCAAAAAGGAAACCAAATCCCCTCGGCAAAAGAATGCTAAGAAATCCCCCAAGAGCTCTTCAGACGATAAAGATTCCTCTGATGACAAAAAGAAATCCCCCAAGAGTTCTTCAGATGAAAAGGATTCTTCTGAGGACAAAAAGAAATCCCCCAAAGAAGAGCGAAAGGATGATAAGGATTCTTCTGAGGACAAAAAGAAATCCCCCAAAGAAGAGGAAAAGGATGATAAGGATTCCTCTGGAGATGAAAAGAAGTCCCCCAAAAAAGAGACTGCTGAGAAAAGCGAAGATAAGGCAAAGGACAGCCCAGCTACTGAGAAGAAGGTGGTGAGAAACCCATTTGCTCCTAAGGCCTCGGGTGCAAAGGATCCTGGTGCGGATTACAATCCCTCCAAAAGCAAATACAATCCCATCAGTGATGCCTTTTGGAACCATGGTGAAAAGTAAGAAACTGTCTGTGCATACTTTTGAGTGCTTATTTAATGGTATATTAGACTGACTGTCTCTTTTTTTTGTAAGTAATAATCTGTTATCAACCATTTATAAATGTTGTCTACAGCCTAAACAATATTTCAAAATTTCCTTTAGACGTGATACAGTCTTTATGTTTGTAGAACTGTCTGTTTGGAAAAATTGCATTATGAATATTGTTATATTTACTTCTTTTCATGAATTTCAGGACACCATATCTAGCTTTAGCTAAAACTATGGAACTGATTGAAAGCACAAGTGGCCGCTTGAAAACCATTGAGATGTTGGCTAATTTCTTCAGATCTGTCATAGTTTTGTCTCCAGATGACTTATTACAGTGTGTCTATCTATGCCTCAATAAAGTAGCACCTGCATTTGAAGGTTTGT